TCGGAGCCTGCAGGGGAGGGAGAGGTTCGGGGTCGTTCTGCCGAAGGATATTAGCAAGTCCATTTTGCTGCAAATCCAACTTTACTGTTAAAGCTGATATTTTGATCTTCATCTTTTTCACTTGTGTCTGCTTCTCAGTCGGTTCGGAAATTGGAAGAGAAACAAGGACTATCTTGCGAGGTCACTAAAATATCAGCACTCGACGGTCGGTAAGTGCTTAGTGTGTAGGGCTATCCGTGTGTATGCCTCATTGGGTACATTCATAAGCATGGCCTTGGACCTTTCGTGGAAATTTAAGTTACACTGTATAATGTACTGAAGAAGACAGGTTTATGTAAATACATCTTAGAATACAGCCCATCTAAAAGTTCTTATTCTAAGCAAGGAGAAATTCCTGATCACTCTGTAGAATGAAGCTACAAACAACTTTAGTGATGATTCCGTTATAGCAGAGGAGCAAAAAAGATCTGATTTACACCTTTTGTTTAAAAGGTTCTATTCCCCATACCTTCTCTTTGATTGTTCTTCTCGACCTCACTTTATCATCGGCGTCATTTTTTTTTTTTTTGACACGTACACAACGTTCTATGAGAACCAAACTAGTTTAGAAATGTTCCATGGTGATCCTGTGTTCCATCTACATCAACTGGGCTGGAAGACTTTTTTTCTTTTGCACAGACATGGTACAGGAAAGTACATATGACACAAAAACGGCGACATTATTTACTATGACAATAGGAACGTTAGAGCAAGAAAGCAGACATTAATTTTAAAAATCTGGACTCAACTAAATGGAAAAGGCAAATACCAATTTATAATCTAAAGCCCTCCCCCGCCCCCAGAAACTAGGAGCATTATATTCAGAGTTGAGTTTGCCCTTAACTGCTTAGGAAACACTGTACTTTTGTTTTGTAATCTCAAGTGTTTATGACACCAGTAATTTAAAAGTCGCGGAGTTGTCAGAAGTGGGCTGCACTGTTAACGCCTTGTCAAAACAGCACTGGAAATACAGACTCACTTTTCTCTCAGTTCTGAGACTGTGGAAAGTGAAACTGAAGTTGTGTTTACAGTTATAAATCCTTTAATTAGAAAGTTGCAGTGCTGGGCTTCCCTGGTGGCGCAGTGGTTAAGAATCCCCCTGCCAATGCAGGGCACACGGGTTCGAGCCCGGGTCCGGGAAGATCCCACATGCCGCGGAGCAACTAAGCCCGTGTGCCACAACTACTGAGCCTGCGCTCTGGGGCCCGTGAGTCACAACTACTGAGCCTGCGTGCCACAGCTACTGAAGCCCACACGCCTAGAGCCCCTGCTCCGCAACAAGAGAAGCCACTGCAATGGGAAGCCGGCGCACCGCAAGGAAGAGTAGCCCCCGCTCGCCGCAAATAGAGAAAGCCCACACGCTGCAACAAAGACCCAACGCAGCCACAAATAAATAATAAGTACATAAATTACAAAACCCCCCAAAGTTGCAGTGCTGTTGGTCCCACCATGTCTTGGTGCCACGTGGGGATTCTAATGCTAACAACTGGTAAACCAGAAACCAAAACCGACACCCATGGCTCTGTGTGCCAAAGGGCATTTTACAGAGTGAGTGAGTGGCCTCTACAAAACCAACGTGCTCATGGGTTCAGTGCGCCCACCGGATGCAAATACACATCACACAGCCGACGGTGAGTGTAAGAGGCTGACTCCATGAGGTTCCACCTGGTCCCTCACCTGTCCCGTCAGGTGAGCATGCCTGCTGGGCAGCCGGGAGCCCCTGCCTATTCGCGGTGCGATTCTGGTGGATGACAAACCCCTTTGGACTTTAGTTTCTCCACTTGTCAAGCAAGCACCAGCCCATCTGCGCAGGTATCGGGTAGATTGGTGCCGCGGATGGAATGAGACACAGGTCAAAGTTGTCTGAAGTGAAAACCGATGTGGAAATGCAGGGTCACAGTTTAATTTAATTTTAACAGATAACTGTGTGACCTTGTGACTCGTCTCATCTGAACCTTTTTTATCACCAGTAACTGGGGGAAAAGCAGTACCTACCTCAAAGAGTTATGAGGATTAAAGAAAGTAAGACAAACTGTGAAGTCTGTGAAAAATGTAGGTTGATTTTCATTGCTCATTGACTATATAAAGAAAGCATGGTTTTGTATAATTTATTCCTCTGACTACATATTGAAAATCAAATCAACCTTAACGTCCCTTCAAAACTTGAAGATTTTCTTGTGAAACCTGACACACGTTGCATTAAAATGAAGAGAGCACTTACAGGTTTTACAGAGGAAAACCTCATGGAACTCTCGCGGCACCTCAGCAGGACCACGGCTACTCTCGTGGGGAGTCAGATACCCACAGCTGACATTCCACACAGCAGTTCAATAGATCGACACGTGCAAGAAAGGGAAAGTCACAATGGTTCTGATGGAAATGAATCAGTCTAGTGGAATCAACACATTCTCCTGATAGTCCTTTGACTTTTGTGTCTAAGGTCCACCTGCCACTTTGAGACCGTGGAGTCTCATGGGAACACTCGCACTGGTACATTTTTTCTGTCTGAGCTCCTTTCGAAAGCAGGTCCTACTTCCTTCCCATGCGCCAACTCAGCTTTACTTTGTCGAGTTGCTCCAGGTGTGAAGGCGTGAGGTCAGCACTCCAAAGCTCACCGAAACGAGGCAGGCAGCTCCGTGGAAGATGCCCCTGGTTTAGAGGCAGATGTGACTGTTCTCGTGGCACGTGGTACCCACGCCAGCCACAGACAGGTAAAGCTTCCCATCTGGACACGCACAGATTTCGTAGAGTCCCCGCAAGCTGCTGGCGGGACCCCGAGTCCCCTGAGCCAACCTGGGTAAACACATGGTTTCAGCATCGAGCACAAGCTGTTTGGGAGAGAAGGAGAGATGAAGGAGGAATGAACGCGACAGGCACGAAATGAAGGGCTCAAAATGTTCCAAACAAATTCGCTGTCTCTCTGCAGAGAGAATGAAGTAGGCACCTGGCTTGACCGAAATCATATCACAGTTAATCTGATTCTTTAAAAGCCTATTTCTAGTTTACATCCAGGCAGGGGATAAATAGTCCTTAGGACCTGGAGGGAAGTCATTTTCTTCTTTTACTCATTGTCCTAGGCGAGCTAGAAAAATGTATGATGCGACACTTTTATGCAGACCTTTCAGAATTATTTGACCAAAATAATACAATTCTTTGCCCGATTCATATTTACCTTGTGTTCCACTTTGACCTTCAGCTTCTCCTGCCTGTTAGGATAAAGTATTGACACAAGCCGCAGAAGTAGATTCATCTTAGTCATTTTAACCTGTAGATTGTTGGAATTTCTCCTGATTTTATTTTCCTGTGAGAGGCGATTAAATTCATCCCGATAGCTGTCAACCATTTCCCCAGCTTTTAAAATATGATTTGAAACTCTACTGCCTTCTGTTAAATGCAGGAAAGCAGCAGACACACAGACAACTAAAATAAGATGAAAGCCACTGGATTTTTTTTGTTCCTATCGAGGTTTAGTTGAACCGAAATACAAACGGCCATTTATTGAGATCTGGTAATCTGACAGCTTAAGGAAATAAGTGTGGTCACACAGAGCAGCCAAGCCTGACCAGGGCGCTCACTTATCAGAAGGAATTAAACCCTGTTTGGGAAGGTTCCATGCTCTTCGTCGCCAACAAGGTCGGACCCCGCCTTTGTTTCACGTGGCTCTCATCCTGTATACTCCAAGCTTTTAATAAACTGGCGTCTGCGTCTGTGTCCCCTCTCGGGATGCTGACCTCTTCATGGAAGCGGTGGGTGGCAGTACACATGCGTGATAGGCAGGCTCTGCCCTGGGGTCTGGGTCACTGTCAGAGGAGGAAGTCAAGTGGGTCTTATTTCTTTAGAGCAGGACCTATTTAGGTTATTGTCTAATGCTTTGGGTTCTGCCCAGTTCTTTGCTTTTCCCTAACTTGCTGGCTTCTCCTCTCGCCTTTTTCCTGGTTAATTGGTTAATTTTTTTCTAGCTATTTTTTTCTCCTGTCCTTCCAGCAAACTCTGATCACTGATGGTCCATATACACTGCTTTCTTGTTCATCTTCATTTGCCTTTTTGGGAGAAGATTTTCTGGGCGGCCAGACATCTCTTCACTTTGAACTATAGCTCCCAGTAATAAGGGGCGTCAACTTCAGGTACGGGCCAGGCTGAGTGCTACTTGTAAAATGACACCCAATTCGCGAAAATAAGTAATATTATTTCAAAACTAAGATCACTATAGATTTTTTCCAAGGTAATACGCTTTCAGGACGTAGTGACATTATGATTCAGTAATAAGATTCCAAAATTCCTGGCTTCCACTTTTGCATTTATCTGCTCCATGCATCAAAACTTTGTAAGTTACAGCCTGCCGGGGCTTCGCCTGATGACTTTGGTGTCCCACCAGCGGGCTGCCCTCGAGGGTCCTGTGTACTCAGGAGCTGCCTTAACGACACCTCCCTCTTACTATTAAATTAGTATCACTTCAAGGCTGTCTTAGCGCATTGGGGTCTCAGAACCCTGTGACACTGTGATGTAAATCCTAGTTCCCGTATTTGACCATTGAGGGGGTAGGCCCAGAGAGGCCTGTTAACGTCCCTGAATTCACACAGTAATTGGCAAACTGATCTCGCACTAGAAAGGTCAATAGTGGGGAGCCTGTACCCTGCTGCCCGTTATAGCCACGGTTCGTATCAGCGATTTTTTTTTTTTTTTTTGCGGTACGCGGGCCTCTCACCGCTGTGGCCTCTCCCGTCGCGGAGCACAGGCTCCGGACGCGCAGGCTCAGCGGCCACGGCTCACGGGCCCAGCCGCTCCGCAGCATGTGGGATCCTCCCGGACCGGGGCACGAACCCGCATCCCCTGCATCGGCAGGCGGACTCTCAACCACCGCGCCACCAGGGGAGCCCCCCTCAGCGATGTTTTATTTCTGGACCTGAGGTTCCGGGATTTTTCTTCCTGTAGCTCTTACTTTTCATATTTAATTTTCACTTACCCAGAACTTGGTGCGAGCGAGCACCCCTGGCAGTAACAGATGACGGTTGTCACAGGTAACTCCTAGTGACAGCCCTACTGAGGGAAGTTGGACCACCAGGAAGTGACAGTACTGATGTTCTCTGTAAGCTCTGAAAGTCTAGTACTTTTTCAAAGCTGAAAATAACAAGAGACTTGACAGCACAAATACCAAACAAAGCAGTCTGGATCCAACATAGAATTACTTTCACCTTTCTTGGCCCTTCTTTCAGTGCTAAATTGTCTTTTCCTTCCTTTCACATTTTCTGTGCTATGCCTTTCATGACGTTTCTTTACAAACTACCATAAATTTACTATGCCGATGCCTTAATGGACAAGCGTGTCATCAGTGCTCAGGGGACGGGAGGCTTGTACAACGGGAGGCCCACCCCGCCCCCATCTATTGGACTCACTGTCCCATCACTGCTGTGAAGAACGATGTCCATCTGGGAAAGGGCCTTGATTTTCCCTGCAACAGCTTGAATATGAACGCCTTTCGGCGCGTCCATGCTGAGACTCCGTGTCGGGGATTCTAGTCTGAAGTGAGGGAGAGAAACCAGGAAAAATAGCATAAAAAACAGCCACCCCAGGAATCCCCCGACCAAGGGCTTAGCACAGAAAATATAATCAGTAAGGTGCATGGTGTTTTCACTCATTCTTGAATGCTAACATATGGTACGTTGCTCATTGATAAATCCAGAAATAAAGTGCAGTAAAGAATTTTAACTTCCCATCAATGGAGTCCATGAAATTAGCATCCTCTGAAAATAGATGCAAACATTAGATAGTCCTAGCCCTGTGCAGTAGCTTTGACGGCGTGGTTAGCACTCTGGCACACACAGCAGAAAAAAAATGCTATTGGTGAACATCTCTGGAAAACTATATTTTAGCCAAAATACAAACTTCTTTGGGAAAAAGAGAAACTTAAGGGCAACGTGTACATTTGCTAACACGTTCACAAAATAAGATGTAAATCTGGACTCTAGGTGTTGTTTGCTTTTTTTTTTTTTTTTTTTTTTTTTTTTTGGAAGATTCGGGGGCAGATGCAAAGATTTCTTTTGGAAAAATACTGAATTAATGGGGTTGACAGGGTGGAGACTGGCCTCCGCTGGCGTTGTTTTTGTAAAACGTATCAGCATCTCCTCGTGATGCAGTCAAACACAGATACAGAACCAGGAACACAGGAGCAGGAAAATTCTCTTATTTGCCTCCGCCTGGAAAAGACTGAGCTTCCACCAGATGGCACAACGTGATCACTGGACAGGTTTTTCAGCTGCTCCAACCTGACTCAACCAAAAGGTGAAAGGGTGACTTCCTTGAAATGTGTAAAGACCCACAAGGAGAACACAAGGTGGAGGTGGGCAGGAGACAGAAAGGGTGACGTTTAAGAGGAGAGAAGGGTCTGGTAATGGATTTGCTGCTGAACTGACTGTTTGACTGATCGACTTTTACAATTCTTTAAAATTGAAGTCTAGTTGATTTACAATGCTGTGTTAATTTCTGCTGTACAGCCAAGTGACTCAGTTATACATAAATATATTATTGTTAATATTCCTTTCCATTATGGTTTATCATAGGATATTGAATATAGTTCCCTGTGCTATACAGTAGGGCCTTGTTTTTATCCATTCTATATATAATAGTTTGCACCTGCTAATCTCAAACTCCCAATCCCTCACTCCCCCATCTCACACCCCCCAAACTCCCAACCCCTCCCTCCCCCACCCCCCTCCCATCCTCCTTGGCAACCGCCAGTCTCTTCTCTATGTCTATGAGGCTGTTTCTGTTTTGTAGATAAGTTCATTTGTGTCATATTTTAGATTCCACATATAAGTGATACCATGTGGTATTTGTCTGTCTCTGTCTGACTTACTTCACTTAGTATGATCATCTCTAGTTGCATCCATGTTGCTGCAAATGGCATCATTTCATTCTTTTTTATGGCTGAGTAGTATCGATCGACTTCTAAATCAGGTGGATTGTTCCGCTGGATCAGCAAGTTTCTTGTCTACCACTATTTGTTATGGAAAACAAAGCTTCCTTATGTACATCTCAGTATGTAAGATCTGATCTGTTACACATTTTAAAATATTACTTTGAGTGCGAGGAAACAGAGACATTCCTAGAATTTATCGGTCAAATTCTGTTGGGTCTTTAGGTGTTGGGGAAACATGCTGTATCTTCATGAGCCTGGTCTGCTGATCGCGGGCCCCTTCTGACTTTGCTAACTGCCTGCATTTCTCCTGCCAGAGAGAAAGAAAGGGGAGGGGAGGGAAGGCAGGGGAGGGAGGTGGATGGGTGAGCAACTGCACAGGTCGGGCCTGTTCCAGGGACCGTGGTGAGGGCGAGTCTGCTTCAGAGACCAGTTCTCAAACCGCAAACGACCTCAACAGGCCCAGTGACTAGCTGTTAACGGCATTATACTGCGATGCTCCCGGGAAAGCAACCTTCGTCCCCTTTGCGTCATTTCTATCCTTGAAGATGAAACGTTTCAGTGCAGCACAGGTGTAGACACATTTTACCCAAACGGCTGACATTAGAATATGCTCTGAAGTGCACCTCTCTGTGAATGCATTCAACAGTGGCCGGATATCAAAGACCTCACGTTCATGTGGGCAAATAAGCCACAGCAGACAGAAAGGGTGAAAGGGAAAAGCTGCAAGAGTGTGTGTGTGTGTTGTGTGTATGTGTACATCTGTGTGTAGATGTGTGTTTGTACGTGTGTATATATGTATATGTGTACATGTGTGTCTGTGTACGTGTACATGTGTGTATGTGTTTGTGTGTGTATATATGTATGTGTGTCTGTGTGTACGTGTTTGTGCATATGTGTGTCTGTGTGTGGCTAGCCCTACCAGACACTGAAATATCTTTTAAAGTTTATTTAAGTAACAAAGTTGGTACTTGGACCTGAATAGACAGCTGAGCAGGATAGAGTGGAAACTGCAGAAACAGACCCAGATGCACAGGGAAATCTTATATATGATAAAGGTTACATTTCAAATTGTAGTGGCAGTTACATAATAATGCAATTGCTGGCACCTGGTTGGCCAGTTGGAAGAGAAAAAAATTAGACCCAGATTCTTGTATCTGTACCTCATACAAGAATAAACTCCAAATGGATCAGCGATCCAAATGTAAGAGAGAAAGCCATACAAGAGACGGGGCTGGGCTTCCCTGGTGGCGCAGTGCTTGAGAGTCCGCCTGCCGATGCAGGAGACGCGGGGTCGTGCCCCGTTTCGGGAGGGTCCCACGTGCCGCGGAGCGGCTGGGCCCGTGAGCCATGGCCGCTGAGCCTGCGCGTCCGGAGCCTGTGCTCCGCAAATGGGAGAGGCCACAACAGTGAGAGGCCCGCATAACGCAAGGAAAAA